CGTCTGCGAATATGAGCCGATCACAAGGGATATCCGATTCGACCAAAATGTTAAATATTAACAACTCTCAAATGTAACAACCCTAAACCTAGTAAATTATCAGCCTATACATGTCCCACTGCTGAGCAAAGGCCTCCTCTGTACAGAAGGTATTGAGGCATAGTCCATCACGCGGCCCCACAGTAGGTTGACGGATTTCACATATCTTCAAATATTTTATTTGTTATTATTTCGAATGATTTTTTCATTCAATGCTGAGCACGTGATAAGTCAGCATTTAAATTAACAATATCATCTGTGCTGGTACCGTTGATAGAACAGCTCTGCTTGCTCGAGTATATTAAATTAAATTCGAGCGCCCGGACAATGAACTATCACGGCTCTACGTTATAACCTTACACTCCAAAAATGTAAACAAAACTAGCATGGAGTACATTACACGTTATCGACCGTTTTTATTGCTTTAGGTTGTTGAATCTCCTTGAATTAGCCCCTCTATAAAGTCTGTTATTTCAATTGTTTTGTCACACAGATACCGGAAATGACGGTAATCCAGACATTATAAATCTGTGCTACGCAAACTGACACCACTAACAAAGGGGGGCATAATGACCGTTGACGAAGTGTCCAACTAAGCTATTTCGACATCCATGAAGTCCTTTGCAATGTGCCTGAACCTTCCCAGAGAAGGTTTTCTGTGCAGAAATCTTTGCCTAGCTAGAGATATACGTATAAAGGCAGTACTATAACAACTCTACGTTCATTTCATATTCGCTACGAGTGTTAGACTTGGCGAGTGAGAGAACATAAAAATATTTTTTAATAATTATGAGTAAAATAGCCATTGATATGACATGCCGATGGTATCAACCATGCAGTAAAAACGTACCCTCCAAACCAAGGTGGGATAAGGGCAGAAGAGAAGATAATGTTGTATGAAGAATTGCAAATGATGATAGTCAAGCTCGCTGTGAACAACTAAGGCTTAGCAACTAATCAAGTCCACTATAACAGACGACCTAAAAATTACAAAAAATAATATTAGTAGTATTAGTAGTAATATTATTAATGCGAGTAGCCTACAGGTTGTACCGTGCGAAATTTTCCCACAGTAATGTGATAAGTAACCGAATGGTAATACAATAATGTGCAATTAAGTATTTATCAATGAAATCTTTCTTATCATCGTCGCTGTCCTTTTTTTTAACAAATTCTCAACAGACGACTTTATCATACAATGTTTAAAATAATTTACACGAAAATAATTGTATGAAAACATCTTTTTTATTATATTTGTCTATTTTTCTTCATTAAGGCCAAATTAAAGTTTTTTATTAGCGTTGGAATCATGAATTTTGTTGAACCTCTTTGGAAGTTATGGCGTACCGACATAATTATAATACCTTTAATAAATAATTTACAAAGATACTTCGATTAATTAATTTCCATATAAAAAGGCAATTTTATTGGTACGGACTTATTTTATTTTATATTTAAAAATATCCTCATCCTTAGTACAGAGGGAATTATGGCATAGTTCACCACGCGATCCCACTGCGGTTGGCAGCCTTCACATATCTTAGAAATATTTTTTTAATTATTTATATTTAGCGAGTTTTTTTTTTCTAAATATTTGTATAAATATATGTTCGTCAACACTTTATGAAAATGAAACTGCAGACGGAAATAATTTCTGCATAAATATTTACACGTAAAACTGATTTGCGATAATTACGTTTGCACTATTCTACGGTAGCAGTAACAGTATCCTCTGTTTGCACTAATTAAGACTTTTATCACTTGTATTTAAAATCCGCTAAGCTAATCTTGTTAATACATAACAGTAGTTGGAAAATTTCCCGACCGAGACTTAGCTTCAATGGAAATTCCACATCTGGCAGTTTCGTGATAAAAGGTTAGCAATTGCATAAGGATTTGTTCCGATCATGCGAATCTTTATACATACATATTTCTTCAGTACGGCTGGATCGATTTTGATTATATTTTTGTATAAGTTCAAGTGGATTCGAGAATGGTTTACAATAACAATTCGGTCCACTACAAAATGATTTTTGATTATTTATTTTATTTTAAATTTGTGACGGACTTTTTTATGTGAGAAGGTGGCAAATGAGCTGGCAGTTCACCTGATGTCACTTGTAGTTCAGTCACTTGTAGTTCAGTTGTAGTAGGATATTACAAATTTTGTTTATTTTTTATTTGATTAGTGTGTTTGATATTTTTTTTAGTTGTGGATTTTTTAACGTTTGTATTTTTTATGATTATTGGCAAGTAAAGTTGGAAGTGTATTCATTTAAGATCGCCGACGTTTACAGCTTGCTAATTATAACTGGAGACAAACGCTGAAATTCTGATCCAGTCAATAAACATTAAACACATAAGATTAATCTGAAGAATATGAAAAACGACCAAACTTTACAAATCTCTTAATCTAAGTTGTACGATTAGAGACATTTTTTCAACGTCTCATTGGTTATTCAAGCCCCTGGAAAGTGTAGCCTTTGTATGGATTTTGAGTTCGATGAAACTTTACATTGCCCTGATGACTAAAAAACAAAACAGCACAAAACAAAAAGTCGGTTAAAAACAAATAAACTAATGCACCGATTACTATGCTAGGGTAGAGTCGCTTACGAAGATTCACATTTTTTTTTATTTATGAAATAAAACTACATCATTATTTTTGTTATGATTGATATAACCTAGAGGTTGATATTGATTAGAAAAAATAAGAACAATTTGATGTCACTAATAAAATATTTAGGAATAACATCCCAGATAAGAAAAGCTCTGAAATGACTCTACTGTGTTTAATAAGGATATGGTGGTGCATTTTTAACTATAAAAAGGTTTATTCCTTTTTTGATCAAATCGATATGGTAAATATGGATAACTACTAATGATTAATCTTGTAAATAAAACTAAAATAATTAATGTTTCTTCATATAAAGCAATGTATAACGGTTTGCCATTAATTATTTATTTAAAAAGTTTAATGCCTTAATTCCATTTAAAAGGACTGTTTCCATTGCACGATACCACTAAACATATCTGCCGTCTAAAATAAGACACCAGCGCTTGGTCATTTAGCGTTTAACGGCATGCGATGACGATGATAACAGTATGAAGAATTTCCAAGGCTGTATTTCTAATTACCAGTGCACGCCATAAACGTGGCATAAACAAATAACAAATTGATGTCATAAACACCGGCACGTGGACAACAAGTATCTATTAAAATAAAAACGTATGTACGTACTCGATAAATTAGTCGATTAGGATATTATTATTATGGGTCGAGCAAATATTGAATAATGCAAACCGACACGATTATGAATATCCTAATTACCATTATCCTATTTACTATCCTATTTAGTATTACACCGACTTACTAGACTATTCAAAGTGAGGCAATGTCGGTAAAGCAGTAGGTACCGCTTTCACCTGTTAAAAAAAATTACGATTACGCATTACGTGGATAGCTCGCGTCACGTTAATATGTAGTTCAAGATCAAGGCTCGAAGGCGGGTTACATCACTTGTTTGCTGTAAATATTGCGGCGTGTGCGGTGTTGGAGCCGATAGGGCGCTCCATTCATCGGGCGGCAGTACGCGACCCGCGGCGGCCATGAGGCGTGCGCGTGAGCACCATGCATGCGGCACGCTGTCAGTGCATGCGGCTCGGATCACTGGGCCGCGCGGAAACGCAGAATCTCCCGCCGCTAAAACGTCCGCTACGCGTCACGCTCCAATTTTTTTTCGGTTCAGTGTCAAGGAGGCGTTGATTGTTGAGCACCTCTGAAATCGTAATCGGTTACGTCATAAATTCAATCCATTTTGTCTATGCCGTCCACAGATAATAAAGGACGATCTCTGACAGATACAGGATGTGTTCCCGGTAAAAGAAAAGGCGGGAATGGCGGTAAAACGAATAGTGAATAGTCTGTATGGAGAAATCCCCGAGACCCGATAATAATAAAATGATATATTCCCGAATAAATGTTGTGTAAAGCCATGATATGAATGATGTAGGAATACCTTTGTCATTGCTCATTACTAAATTCTTTGAAGTGAAAATGTTGGTGTTCCCGACACGAACATTCCCGTGTCGAAAATATTTTGTTTTTAACAGGCAAAAAATATAATATAAAGTGCACAGATATATAAATAAGTTGTTAAATACATAATATTGAGAATAAAAAGGGTGAAAGATTTTGTCTTTAATCTTAATTGTACTAACTAAGCTGGATTATATTATTATTTAAAACAGTAGGAAAATGAAAAGGAAAATGTCAAGGAAAATTTTATGGAGCGTTTAACGCCTAAGCATTCACCAAAATTGAAACTTAAATATTTTAATAAACAAAATATAATGTTAATAGTATCTTCATTATTATTTAATTTAGAAATAAACAATGATGAAGGCTATTTAAGAACTTCTGGTGCGTACCAAAACATTAAATACACACACGTCGTTAAACTATGCGTAGTTATATTTACCTTTGAAGGTAATATACCATCGACTCGCATCGAATGTGGATAGTCTGTTAAAACACTCGGCCGCGTGCGCTTATCACTCGGCGAATTGGTTTAAAAAATTGCAAGTCCGTTAGGATAAGATGCGAGACAACCCTCGCAGGGTCAGCCGTGATAACCCTTGCGCGTCGGTTAGGACCTCCGACACCGTCAGACGCGAGTGAGAACTTCACCCTTTTGCGTCGCGACTCGTAATCTATAAAGGCGACCGGCGCGCACAAAAGAAACAGTCCGCACCCGACCTCGGCCGATGATGCTTTGTCATTAAACACGCGAGCCAAATACTTCCATCGAACTCCACGGCAATTGCAATGACACACGATAAACGCTAAATCAGTGGACCGCCAGCCGAGGAATATTTTCGAAAAACCCCACCGTCTTGTAAGCGCATGCGTTGAAACTACGCTGTGATTGGGCGTGTAAAGGAACGTTCGCAATAAAAAAATGAACGACATGAGTGAAACGAATAACTGTGTCAGTCGCTCCGCGTGCAACAGCAAGGGTAGCATGATTGTTGTTTCAAATCGCCTGCCTTTTGTGTTAAAGAGAAATGAGAAAACCGGTGAATTAGAAAGGAAAGCCAGGTAATTTTATACATTTTTTTGTATTTCCCCATGATTATGTTTAATCTGTGTTATTGAATGGAAAAACAATGTGATAGCCTTTGTTTACAACTTTTATTTGTTGTGATGTGATAAAATCATTAACAGCAGAACTTTTTTACAAAATTCCCAGATCTCTTCATCATATCCAGTATATATTGTATCAGTTACAGTTGAAAATGCGTGAAAAGTTAGTATTACATGCCCAACCTTTTAATATATTCGTTAACCTAAACGATAAATTTGGTTTAATTGGTCACAGTTTGCAAAAATTCTTCTTATTTAATCGTTTGAATTTAGTAGGTACTGTTGGTCTTTTCAAAATCTAGTACATTTCCCATTGAAATATCCATCAAAATATAGCAAAACGTATCGTATTCGGGAACTTTCTGCAGGCCCGCTATTGTGTCGTTCCGAACGCGGCGTTTTTGTTAACGGTTCTGGAATATCTTACGAAGGTTCAAGGTGTATAAGTAAAGAAATTATTTATCTATATATTAATTTGCATGTACTTGCGGTGGTTAAATAATAACATTTAACTAAGGTTGATTTTGGTCATTTGTATACTTTGTGATGAATTAAAAGTTACAATATACTTCCTCGTTAATTTGTAAACTTTGGCCAAAATTTTCAAAATGTAACATTTTTAAAATAAACTGAATTCTGAATGATCAAAGAATACTCAGAAAATATTTCATAACAGCTTGTTTGCATTCGACATAAATAACTGAAACCATCTTGATTTATACATAATATGCGATGATATTTATGTATTGATGAGTTTTTATTAACAGTTCATCAACCGTCTTCAAAAAAGAAAGAGGTTCTCAACTGGGTTGTTTTTTTTTTTTATTATCTAACCTCAGAACTCCATCATTATTGGACCGATTTTAAAAATTCATTTTGTATTGCTTTCGGTTTAGCTCCCATGTGGTACCATATTAATTTCATTTATGATTTAGACCTTAGACTTCTACTTGATCAGAGAACTCAAAATAAAATTGAAAATGTATATGTAATAAAATTGAGATTTGAAGTCGGTTTTGTTTTTATTGATAATAATGTACTTGTTTTAATGAAGTACACGATCGGTCCTCTTCGTCTGGTTAGTCCGTGTTAGAAAGAGAAAAAAAGTAAAACCTCTACTTTTTTTCTCTGTCTCCAAAAACGCATTCACTGCGACCTCTAATTTGACCCCTACTTTACTCTCTGTATTTACTCGCGTGGACGCTCACTGGTAGTCAGTTCCCCTTTGCATAATGTAGTGCACATATTGAATTGTTCGGCCTAACCTTGAACTTCCACTGGTCTTGTCCAATCCGTTCGGATGTGTACAAGTAAATTTTCGGTACAAACGTACCGCAAAAATACATTATGTTCCTGCATCCGTTTTAAAAATACTACAGCTCAAATGAATAACGCTAAACGTGCTATAGATTTCATTCGACGATCTCAATGCTATTAAGTGATTTCACGTCAGTACTAATACTAAATTACCATCAATTTTATCTAGCGATTCTTAGGTTCAGGCTTTCTTCTTTGAAATACCTACCCCATGTCACTTTCTCTACACTCATAGTTGACTTGTATCATATGCTATTAATTCTGTCTTCATACTAGCCTTTATAAAGTTTAAACCACATGAAATAGACTGTTATATCATTTTAAGGACAAGCTGACTGATATTTTAGGGCAACAATGTACATAGTAATGTTTTTAGTCTTGTGACAGAATAGTTTAAACACCTTTCAACGTAAACCCTTAAGTTCTTAAAGCTTTATTAATAAAATCTATATAGTTAACTGAGAGAAACACATAAAATCTTACGAATACGATTATGAAGCAACAGTAGATTTTCTTTCGTATTGCAAAATATTTACTTAATTATCCATATTATGGCAATGTAATGCTTGTTTTTACATTTATTTCAGATATGAGTTTAGTTTTTACAGATCCGTTCTGAAAAAAAAAATCATCCAATATCAAAAAGGTCACTGATTAAACAAACCATTGTCACTGTCGGTTTCTTATCGACGAAGATAATGTTACCGATGAAATGTTATTAATTTACTTAACGGAATCTACCAGTAGTTAAGTAAATTAATAACATTATTATACAACTAAGATCTCATTAAAAGGTAAACTAAGATTTCAAGTGACGAGAGACAAACAACCATAGATTAATATAGAACACACTGCTAGTGATGTTCGCTATTACTTCTATGATACAGGTATTCCAAAGATTTTTCTTAAGATATGTTTTATTTGGAACCGGGCCTCAGTGGGTGGTCTAGGGGTCCTAGAGATCACTTAATCATAACGTAAAAAGGAAATTTTTTTTGCTATTTGATGCATTTTCAAGTGGAATGAGAGGAAAATTAAGAAAAACTGAATTCAAAACCTCTATTGAAGTAAACATGAATTAAAGTCAGTTTAATTTTTTTCTAAATTAAGAAATCAAAATCGTTTTGGATTATTGACCGTACAATTGAATTCCTGCCATTACTACTCTTACGCAGACTGTTGTGGGCAGTAATAATGTTTTATCATGTAGGTATTCTATAGCAAGTAATAACGTTTTATCTACATATCCCGAAAAGTGATATCAATATGACATTATTACTCACAAACGCAGAATACATTTACTAAAGGGAAGCATGCAAACACTGCACTGGACATTAAAGTGAAGAAAGTGCGTAAGTATTCATGTGAAAATTATAAAAATCGTTCAGCGGGTTTTTGCGTACTTTTACGTGTCATTAGTTTTTAATCGGCAATTTTGCCCGTTTTTTGCTTGAGGATGTGACAGCGTGGTATACGGGGCATATACTGCTACGTTATCGAACAATATTAGCAATGAAAAATATGATTATTTTTCTGAAATTCATTGCTTAGTATTAATAAGTCCAAATGTTTAGTTTGTTATATTGGCCCCGTATAAATAAGGTTAAACCCTTTGCACAGCTATAAACTTTACCCGATCAATTCATGGAAAGGAAAACATCGGAAATGTATAGTCTATTAATAGATCAGCTTATACTTGCACTCTATTCATGGACTGGTGACTCACATTTAGTCATTTGGCATCATTACAAAGCAGTTAGAAAGGGAAACTACACCCATACTACGCTATTACTCTCTGGCGAGGCTTCTGCATACCCCAAAATTGATTTATAATGCTAACGCAGCATGTGTGTGTATTTTCTGTCTGGAAATCTATGTAATAGAAAATGATCCGTTGCAGATACTTGTGAAAACGGAAAGGTTTGCTGCATTTGAACCTTAGGTTTTTATTTAAAAGTAATCCAGACCGAATATCTAAGGTGGTGATTATTAAATTATGTGAAAATTACTGTTCTGCAATTGCAGTGCACGTTCATAGTATATATACATATAAAAATGTGTCCTAAAATATAAAAAAATATTTTAGGACACATTTTTACACAACATTTTCTAGTCCCAAACTAATATAGCTACTACTATAAAGCTTAGTATATATATATATATATGTATATATACAGCGTGTCGTTACCATCGCGACAATAAATGAACACACATATAGGGGATAAGTTTTTAAAGTTGTATTAAACATTTAAATTCTTTAAACATCAATATTTACAGAGTTATTAAATTTTCCAAAACAAAGAATTTTAGAACACCCTTACCTATAAAAGCGTAACGTAAAGTTCATTTCTAAAGGTCACAAAGCATATGAATGGGTTGAATGAATTTAAAAGAGACAAAACATACTGTTAGAAGGAGAGGCTTGTAAAATACGACGCTGTGGCGCGAGTTGTATAGGACGTTACAAATTTTGTTTCCTTTTTACTTAATTAGTTTGTTTGAAAAATATTTTTTTTTAATTATGGATTTTGTTTAACGTTAATATTTTTTTATGATTATTGGCAAGTAGCGTTAGACGTGTGTTCATTTATTGTCGCGATGGTAACGACACGCTGTATATACTAAGCTTTTAAATGAGTAAAAACGAAGTGTATATTTTTATATTTCATACACGTGAACAACATGTACCGAACCATCTGTATACATGTCATTGTGGATCAGCAGTAGACTATGACATTCTTGTCTTTAATAAAGAAAACTATCGATATATATGGCATGACCCGCAAAAGTCCGGAGTAAACTGGAAGTATTAATATACTTTCGTGTTTCGCCTGGTGAGAGATAACAGGGGCCTAAATTTTGAGCGTTGATAACATATCTGAAACCCTTCATCTGTTTTAGATGCCCAAGAGCGGCGGTAATCACTTTTCAGGGGAACCGTCTGCTCGGCCAAGTTTTCACACATAAAAATATATCTTTACCATACTTATCTCTAGAATTTTTAGCCTCTCCTCAAGCTTCGTCACGTCCCGTTGACAATCCAACTGATCCAGGGTTCATTTGCAGCGCCGGCGGTCTCGTGACCGCTGTGGCGCCGGTCGTCATCCGGGGGAAGGGCATCTGGGTGGGCTGGCCGGGCATCCACCTGGACAACCCCAACGAGACCATCCCAGAGTCCGACCCCAACGACAAGACCCCCACGGCGGGACTACTGTCCAGTAAGGTACTGTCATACTTATCGGACACTTAGCTTAGTGGCTAGAGCCTATTGATCCGTAAGTCTGGTTCGAATCCTGTGGTAGTAGCGTAAAAGTTTCGACAGCTGTAGCTATACATATCTTAATAAACATAAACTTTAACTTGGTTAAAGTAGGGGTGATAGGTAACGATATGGAGGGGTCTCTCCATATCGTTACCTATCGTGTGGCATAAGGGGCACTTTTGCCTCATCTGTTGTTGATGATGTGTGACGAAGATCGCTAAATTGGTGCACTGGCGCTCCTACTTTAAAAAGAAAGGCTTTTATTATCGCTTGGAACAGATTAGTCATTTTATACTTAATAAAAGTTTGGTTTTGTTGAAACTGATCTATTAGCGAAGCGTGTCATGGCGAAGCAAGGTTACCGACCACTCAGCCAAGCCATTAGTATTTGTATTATCTGTGGCCGCTTTGAAATCCAGTTTGAAGATCTGCTTTCGGATGTAACCTGTTCGTTGGTTTGTATGGAATACGTGTAGTAAACATTGCAGCCGTAACCGCTTACTGCTTATTGCTAAAATAAACTCAATATACCCTTGGGCCGAAAACCTTACACGGTACAAGGCGATTGGAGATACTGCGCTCAGAAGTTCACTCAGCTTGTGACGCTTTTCATCTCTGAACTACTTCAATATAAACACGCAAATGTAAATGTATAGAGCACTAGTGCGATAAATTAAACATTTGAAAATTTAACACAAACAGTTGTGTGGTAATTTGATGTAACTTCTATATGTAATTTCTCACATACAGTCTAGGAAAATTCTCCTTATCGCTATTAATACGTACAGCGAAGTAGTGGAAAAATTTGCGAAGTGTTGATTCATTTTGAGTGTTTTTTTTTTTAAATCGAACATCAGTCTACCAAGTTCGCTGTTTAGACTTAAGACCTTTAATTTTCCCAAGCGTTAACCACTATCGACTGCATTACTAACCATTGGGAAATAGTAAAAAAGCACTAACCACTAGTTGGCGATTAAGAAAATGGTGTCAATGTTATAATACAGTTTAAGTTAACTGTAAAATTAATGAGAAATAACATATTTTAATAGATTATTTCGCTTATCCCACATTATAAGATGACTTCATGGGATCTTTTTAGGAACTAGGATTTCTGGACAGTCTTGTTTATGAGGAATACATAAACGCAGCAACTGCAACGCTTTTACTCACTGGAATATTTTTGAAAAACAAATAATTATAATACATGAATAATAAATGTTTAGTTCATTGACCATCGAAACTTAGTTTTTAGCAAAATTGAAATTTAAAAAATCTATTTTAATACATAACTTAATAACAAACTTAATAAGCAAACGTTTCAAAACGATAATTTGAACGTCATGTTCGCCATTGCTATGTAATTTATTATATCGTAATAAATCAAAATTATGAAAGGTTAAATAGAAATAAAAGGGAGAACCTTTAATATTATTTAGAAAATATTCACATTCGTTGAAACCAAACCAATTACCAATTAATTCGTAATTCTTGGATCATTTTAACTCTTGCCCTGTATAGATACTGGTATAGGACTGGATATTGCCTGGGTGTAAATTCCCTTGTGTTTCTTCGTAAGTGTCTTCAAGGAAAGACTAAATAGGTTTTTAACGACCACTGCGTTGCATCCGCCGATTATCTTCACATGTATATCGCGTATCTACATCTATGGTGCTAAGATTCTAAGGCAAAAATGGCTATTGACGTACAGGCGTGTTGTCCCTGCCGCTATAAGGGGAATAAGTTAACTAATAATAAATATTAATACGCCATGTACCACGGCCTCGCAGAAAACCATCCATCGAACCAATACACAGGCAATGTTTTGAAAAATGATAATGAAAAGTTTTTAAAAATGTTGTGGAACTGTAAAATTGAACCTTTTTCTATATCCAGGTAAGATAACTAGTGTAAATAAAAATCGATAACTGCACAACAAGTGAGCATAAAAAGCGCTGGCACGTTTAATGCTGACTATCGAAATATTATTCTGACAGTTTCATTAAATTGTGTTTTTGTAGTAACTACCCATTATGTCCTATGTACAAGAAATTTGATATATATACAAGAAATTGTATTACACATTAAATAGGCATTAGTGGTTTTTTTTTGTAATTTGTAAAGAAAATGAATGTATTGTAAAATAAAATAGGCAAAATTTACGTTGTTCAATATTTTTAATAAGTCTTAAATAGTTAAACGGAAAATGTAACGCATACAAACTTATTATATTTTTTATAAGAAAATCTGAAATGTGTAGTATGTAGGAGCGACAATCCTTTTTCATGCCACTATAACTATGCCTGTTTAAGTCCACTGCTGGTTATAGGCCTTCCATATTGCTACTCTTTTTGTTACTACACGAATTTCGAAATTCGTTTTCCGTTATAATTCGACGAAACATTTTATTTTTCGAAAGAGGCTATCAACATACTTCCCGAGTAACATAAGCATTCAAAGATTTCTTAAAAACGAATATTTAGTGGGTTCATTAGTGGTCTGTTTGGCGATTAATGCCTGTGTGACCATGGAAAAAAGAGTTATACGGATTGACAGACAGAAAGACGTTATATATTATAACAATATTAATTGTGAGCAAAGAATAAAGGACGACCTGCGATTTTAACTGTTTATAACAAAGACCTTTTAACTTTTTCTCACCAATACAACACCTGACAGTCGATATAAATGACCACACTAGTCACTCTTGCATTGAAGATGTTCATTTTATAATAGGACGGAAAACTGAACCAAGCAAACTGATCCACTCCTTTGTTGTACTTGAAATCAAATTAGCATGTAATTTTCCTTATTGGAATGTAATAGAATACGTAAATAAATATTTTACCATATTACTAGCTGCACCCTTCATTTCTATTAGAACTTCGGAATAAAAAGTATATAAAAATATTCTCCTGTTAAATAGCTATATTATGAACACATATCAATCCATCGGCTGGTTTAGAGTTTTGTTGACGCAAATATACGAAAGCCAAATTTTTTACATCGATTAAGTTAATGAATGAACATTTCATTCATTAACTTCATCGATGTGAGTATTTTAGATACGGAGAAATATTTCTGGAAATATGTTTTATTTGAATTAAATGTAACCCTGTTTACATTTCAAAATTTCCTTTTGTGATTTTTTAAAATACTGCAAAAAGACATTTTTTAAGTTATTTGAGGTCCACCAATCAGTAGTGAAGTTGCGTGGTGGACTACTTCCTAATACCCTCTGTGCAGAGAATGCATTTGCCTAGCAGTGGGACATTTTAGGCTGTTACTTTACTTTTTATTGAAAAAGAAGTCTCAGATGCAATATATTACGGTTTCATAGCATTTCATAGCATAATTTTAAAAAAAATATTTTTCAAACAAACTAATTAAGTAAAAAAGAAACAAAATTTGTAACATCCTATACAACTCGCGCCACAGCGTCGTATTACAAGCCTCTCCTTCTAACAGTATGTTTTGTCTCTTTTAAATTCATTCAACCCATTCATATGCTTTGTGACCTTTACAAATGAACTTTACGTTACGCTTTTATAGGTAAGGGTGTTCTAAAATTCTTTGTTTTGGAAAATTTAATAACTCGGTAAATATTGATGTTTAAAGAACTTAAATGTTTAAATACAACTTTAAAAAGTTATCCCCTATATGTGTGTTCATTTATTGTCACGATGGTAACGACTCGCTGTATAAAAAAACTAGCTTTTCGCCCGCATCTTCGCTCGCGTTGAAGCCCTTAAATAATTATCTTTCTTTAAAAAAAATTCCAATTAAAAAATAGACTGGCCTTTATCAGGCTCTAGACTATCTTTGCACCAAATTTCATTTAAATCGGTTCAGTAGTTTTGGCGTGAAAGCGAGACAGACAGACAGACAGAGTTACTTATTAGTATGGATGTTCTATACATTTGTAGTACTCATGTTTGCTTACATATAAGCTATATTTTAACACCGTATTCTCACGGGAACGGGAACTACTTGGGTGAACTAAATTATATTTATATCATGAAAATTAACCGACCTATCACAATTTTTGCGGACGGAGTCGCGGGCTAAGGGTAGATATATCATACTAGTTATATATAATTATTCATGATTATCATAATATGAGCCATGATAGCTGAGTGTCTGAGGGCTCGCTTTTTACTCAATAGTTCAAATCCCGGAACCAGCGCCAATGAAATTGTGAATTTTAAGTGCTGAATTATTACGTGCTCAGCGGTGAAAGAAACCATAATGAGGAAACCTGCATATTTTCGAAATAATAACAAAAAAGTTTTTTCAAACATATGTGAATTCTGCCCATCCACGGTTCCCTAAAGGTATTTTTAATTGGGCGAGGTTTTTTATCACAAAAAAAAACTCAAACTCAATAAACCGTCTGTATAGAGGAGGCCCAGTAGAGTGGGACTTGTATAATATTTACTTTACATTTACTTTTTCAATTATTATATTTTAAGAAAATATTTGAATAAAAACACTTAAAAAATGTTACGAACAAGAAATACGTCCGTTACAGTTAGATTAGCGAACCAGCAGAGTTTCCGCCCTACTCGAGTGCTAACGAAAAATTAATTGATTTACCTGACAGTGTTCCACCGTTTTTATATAGATAGCGGTAGGTTGTCTATCGGAACCATAGACAACAGCCATAGACCATAACCATAAGCATTTGACCATCTCTTTCAATACATATATTAATACTTGAAACAAAAACCCTTTTTCGAAAATAACGCGAACAGAGGAGTATGAAATTTCTCAAACTTATAGTTTATATAGAGGAGTGCAGAAAGCTAATATTTTTTTTTATTTATGCATAAAAATAGATTAAATCAATAAAAAAACAGTACGCACACTACCATGTATAATTAATTATGGTCGAGTTTCGACCACTAGGCGACCACTAGCCATCATTAATATGCGTAATCCACAGTACTTGGCAACAAACGGAT